ACACACACACACACACACACACACATACACAACACACACAACATGACATGTGCAGGACAGACACACAGAGAGACATGCGGTCAGACAGACAGATTAGTGAGCTCAGTATTATTAAAGTTTTACTCTCCTCTAATCCTCTCACTCATGCAGCACACACACACACACACACACACGCTCTCTCTCTCTCTCTCTCTCTCTCTCTCTCTCTCTCTCTCTCTCTCTCTCTCTCTCTCTCTCTCTCCGTGGGGTACACCCTTTGAGAGGGGCAGGCAGTGTGAGATAAACTGATCACGCAGGAGTACAATATGCCGAAAGCGATTATGTGTGTGTCTGTGTCTGTGTGTGTTTGTGTGAGATAGTGAGCAAAAGAGAGAGATGATGATGTGCTAGAGCAGTTGGGAAGCAGATATTAACACACATTGGAGTCCATGGTGGAAAGAAAGAGGAAGATATTTTCCAGCATAGAGAATTATCTGGGAATTATGCAGAGCCCGAATGTGTGTATGTATGATAAAAGCTATAGTTTGCTTTAGACTTCTAGGTACTCTGCCTTTGAAATCACAGAAACCCTCTAAAAGCAATCCCAAAGTTTAGAGAAAATGGGGAAAATATAATTCCATCCAAGTAATGAGAATGCTCCAAATTAAAGCCACAGTGGTATTTCCCATAAGGCACAGCTGCATCTGATACCAAGTGACTTCACCGCTGATGAATGTAAAGAACACCTCCTTGGGCATTTTTTGCTGCATTAAAAGCACACTGCTCCTAAATATTTGCAGACATATCTGGTGTTGTTGTTGAGTCAGTGCATTTGTTTTAAGACTGCCTTTGGGGTGTTCCAGTTTTATTTTAGCTGTAATAGAAAGAATAAAGTTTATTTACATAGCACTTTTTAAAACAAATATTACAATGTGCTTGGCACAGAACGTAAATGAAAAAAAAAAAAATCCCCGGTAGTAAAATCAGGGAACCGCAATAGCAATAAAACAACTCACATTAAATTCTAAAAAGCGGAGCGTATGAACCAACATTAGGATTCAGGTAGGCTACTCAAGTAAAAATAAAATGATATTGCTATTTGATGAAAATGAGGTCCAGGCAGGTCAAGGTGCCCTTATGGTCACATGAGCAGCAGGCTGGCTGCACACGTGGGCAGGTGCTTGAGGAGCCTGAAGGTACCCTCAAATTAATCAATATTAAGAGTAACATTATCATTTATCATCTATCAATAGTGTAAAAGGTTGCAGTTTAAATTGATCGGTTGCTTTACAGTTGTTAATTCCACCAATGGTTGTTTCTTGCATATGTCTAACACATTAGTTGCGCAGGATGAGTTCCTGATGGTTAGTTTGGAGCACGGCGCACCATCAGGAACTCGTCCTGCGGCGTGTTGTCAGCTACTAGCCTCCGCCGAAAGAGATAGATACTCTCTGGTATCTAATTTGTCCCTTTTACACGTTCTGCGGTGTTAGGATAAGAGACTAGCAAGTTGTTATGTTTGTTGCATCACTTTTTGCTTCTGGAGCGCTGCGTCTGCTCCCTGGGATTATGGAAATAACGTTATACTGTATGGTTCCTCATGCATACTGTATTTAATTGCAATGTTGAGGTTCGTGCACTTATTTGCATCATGCTGCAGACTTCTGTTACTTCACTGCATTCCAGAGACTCATTTTGTAACATTAGTAGCATTATTTGCTTTTAGATCAAAAGTTTCAACCAATAATGCCAAAAAAAATTGTTACATTTGATACATATGATAAACATGTCCTGCATGTACTATTATAGATTAAACTACTGGAAAAAAACTATATTAAGCTACTGAAATTAGTTCAACTGCACAAGTTACATTCAAATTGAAATGCTGCACATGAATACACCGGTAACAATAATTCAATAATTCATACAACGAATATGATATGTCATTCTTCTTTATGAAAGGCATTTTTTTTTTTTTAATGAGCATTCCATTCCAGGCTTTGGTTTCAAGGTTCCCCTGTTTGTGCATGCTGGCTCGCTTTCTAATTTTCATGGCATCGTTAATGTTATTAGTAACACCTGTGCTTCTCCTACTATAATAACTCAAAATGTGTGCCTGTGAACAGGGCCTCTGCTGTTCTTATTGAAGTACATTTTGCTGATAAAAACCTGGTCTTATTACGGTGACAGTTTGGATGCAGCACCGTTACTTGTAATAGAGTATATTTAAATAGTGGCACAGCTACTTGGACTTCTGAATACTTCTTTCACCATTGCACATGTTGAGTTAGAGGCATAAGATGCAATGCATGGGTGTGAAGTGAGGAATAGTAGTCCTCAATTATTCATGTAACTATAGAGTAATCTGTGAAGTAATGCAATTTTTTTTTAAATGAGTAATTAGAAAGAAATTTGTTAATATGCTACATTTTCCAAGTAACTTACCAAGCAGAAAAGTAACAGCACTATATTGCAAGTATATTTCTGCCTTAGATCACACCATTACTTTTGAGATGATACATTTTACAGTACAGGTAACTTCATGTTACTGCAAACACACAGCATGTGAAGGTAAATGCTACTGGGATGTGTGTGTGTGTTTGTGTGTGTGTATGTGACATTCGTACAACTCCTCAGGATCTGATTTCATGCACCCTCAGGCCTATGAGTTCATATGTAGAGACGTATAGCTCTGAAGTGAGAGGGATGTGATTTTTAGCAGATATTGTACCCTGTAATTGTACTGGAAAAGTCTCTCTCGCCTCTTCTCTTTCACCTCTGCACATCTCTTCTCATGTTTTCTCTCTCTCCTTATCTCTGTTGTGACAGCTTAGGTTGGAATCACTTTACAGGGGTTTTAAAGTGTTGCATTCTTTTTCTCCCAAAAGCAGTGAGCCTTCATGCAATGTCTTTAGAAAGAGCTCAGCGAGCCGTGGGCGTTTGATTCTGCGGTGAAATGTGTCCAAACCAAAGAAATTGGGGATAATAGGCAAATTGTGGCCAGAGAATACTTGCAGCCAATCATTAAACAGAGTCCTGTGACATGACAACCTTTTGTTTTGAAGGATTTCCTCCCGCCAGAAACATGAACATGCAATTATTGTGGCGAGCCGCACTTCAACGATGCTTGGTGTGTTTCCTGCATGAGGTTACAGAACTGTGTGCAACATTTTTGAATTCCCTTTGGTTTTGATGAAATCAGTAGCTTGGACTTCATAGTTTCAGAAATGTACTGTAGTTTCCATAAATCAGTTGTTCTCCGTTCTCGGGAACATTTCAAATGTCATGTATGTTTGGAAGTTTTGCTTTGATAACAATTGTTGACACGACGGTAACACAATTGTGCATTGTCTTCAACCTGAATAGGACACATGGTTTCACAGAGCGTGTAATCTACGATATGGTGTACGCATTTGTGGAATCCTTGTTCAGATGTCAGAGGGAAAGACGGGCTGAGAGGATATTATGACCGTCTTTAATCTGGCTAAGCATACAGTATGGATAATCCGCTCTCTCTGATTTACAATTCCCTACAGTTTGTCTGGGTGACACAAGTATGTAATCTCACTGAGATTATTGAAATTCTGTCTCATTTGTCTCTGAAATTCCTCTTTTCCACTACGCACTATGTACGTTTGACTCAAGAACCCCTGTCATTATACCTTACTAGTATTATAGATGTGCGCAATTAGTCGACTACTAAACATCGCTGCCCTCGCTAGTCGCTGCCAGATTAACTAGAATCAATTTATTTGGTTAATGTACTCAATAGAATTCCACATCGACATATGCTGTCTCAGCTGTTGCTGTGGAAAGCCGCTGCTCCCCACTCTGATCTAAACCCATCAGCTGCTCCTGACTCACTTCCACCTCGTCACGTTCTCCCGGCCCCCGCCTGCCAACCACCTCCTCTTTCTGAAATAGCGGGTTCAACAGTCAGTGTGGTTCTCTCCTGATCCACCGGATTGGCCGGTAGATAGGGCGCTACAACATTTCTACAGGTGTATGCAATAGAGTAGGCTGAACCCAGTTTTGAACGCAGTGAAAACAGTTGTTTTTGAAAGGCTGTACGCCAATGAATATGGATTGGAGCAGAATATTTCCTTAGAAAAAAAATTGTGGACAATTAATGTTGCAGAGACAATCGTGGGCTGAACACCATGTTGCTCGCAGTGTGGTAGAACGAGTGGGGAGGAGAAGGTGGAAGTTTATAAAACTTCCACACTGAGGTACTAATGGTTAGCCTATAACTGATGCCAAACCATGACTCCTCTTAGACCACAGTCCCCGCTGGCGTGTCATCAATTATTACACCACGCACCGGGTGCGTGAGGGGCATTCCTAACTGGGCAACCCGAGCCGACACTTGGGACGTTTGGACTTCAGCAGCATTTTAAATACGATGTGGTTATTGAAAAATGTGATAAACGATTTCAAATGGCTCTTATACATAATGTTTAACCTTATAGATTAAAGATTTAGTGATCGCATGAAGATGTGTATAGTTTTTGTAGTCCACACGTTACAAAGTAGTAAGGCAGTTAAACAATATTTACAATACTTTCCTCTTGTAATGCTTTACAATTTAGACAAGGCAAAGAATAGCAGGAAGTGTACCATCAACAGTAGGGATATTCTTTTTTGTTAGATTTTCTTTTCAAGCTTTATTTTTTTTTAAAGAGTTGTGAGATATAATTATCATTGGACTGCTTAACCTACACAATATGCTGAGGGACTAAACAGCACACAGTTAGTCTGTTGTACTTGCTTGACAGATGGGAGTATATTAGTCATCGTCTAACCTACAGGGAGAGACTTCAGTGTCTGAAAAATATACGGGGCTCACTAACTGATCTGTAGACAGTGCAAACACCCTTGAAACTGTGGTAGAATTGAAACACTATATCAACCCCAAGTGAATCACCTGACCGTGATTAAAGCGCTTACTGACAGTAAACTTGTGTTGTTTGCTAACTTTTTCTTTCTCCTCTCTTTTCCCTTCCTGCTTCCCCTCACTTCAGGCTCTGACTACTCTCCCCCTCCCCCCCTCCCTCCCCCCGTCCTTACCAACGAGCTCAGTGGCGGCGGCGGCGACCATGGCGGAGGAGGGGGCGGGGTCAACCACGGGGTGGGCGTGGTGGGCCTGGCCCCGGAGCACATCGCCACACCGGGGGCGGCCCTGAGCTGGCAGGCGGCCATCGACGCTGCGCGGCAGGCGAAGATAATAGGCAACCCCGCATCGGGCGGAGGGGCGGGGCTCGGGGCGGGAGGGGGCGGGCCCATCTCCACGGCCAGCTCCACGCAAAGGAAGAGACAACACTATAGCTCGAAGCCCAAGAAACAGACAACGACGACAGCCACAAGGCCGCCACGGGCCCTACTCTGTCTCACACTCAAGAACCCCATCCGCAGGGCCTGCATCAGCATCGTAGAGTGGAAGTATCCTTTGGCTAACCATGAGGGCCATATCAGAGATATGATATTGTCTTAAATGTTGCAATATTATTGTACAGTTGAAACCATTTACCATCCAAATCAGATCTGATGATCCATTTCAAACTAAATGGTTTGCCAAAACCAGAGGAATGCACATATTTCCTTGCAACCACATTGTGTCCCTCCAATGTTGAATGGATGGATAGATGCAGGAAGAAATGAAATCATGGCTAGGGGAAGAAGAAGGAGGAGAAGAAAAGAGGACAGAGGACATGAACATGTTTAGGATGCATCTCACTTCCTCTTTCCTCTCTTCTATCCCTACTTCTCTTTTTTAATCAATCTGTCTTCTTTCCTACGTCTCACTCAGTGTGATTCTCTGCTCTCCATTCACTCATCCTAATCCTTTCTCCCCTTCCTCTGTCTGCCCTGCTCCCTCTTTCTCTGCTCTCCCTCTTTCATCTCACAGCCTTCTCTCACAGGAGGATAAAACAAATTGTCATTTTCATCCCTCCTTCACACCTCTCCCATCATATGTCTTTCCCCTAGCTCCTTCTAACTGCATTCATCCTCTCTCCCCCAGGTTCTCCCATGCCTCTACTCCTCCTTCGCTTCCTCTGCTTCTCTCTCTCACCATTTGTTAACAGTCTCCCCCTCCCTCTGTCCATCTAAATCCTTTTATTCCTGCTGTTCCTCCGCCTGTCCTTCCTTTTTACCCTTCCTCTTTTTTTTTTTTTTTAAGCTGCTGAACATAATGACTTGGTTTTCCCTCAGGGTGAGATAAAGGGAGAAAGACAGAAATGGTCCGTGTCACAGTCAATGTGATTGATAATAGGAGAGGGTTCACATGAGCAGTGGCATATCGTCCTGAGAGGTAGACAAGGAGAGGAAGAGTGGGGGTTTGGGAAAATGAGAAGGGCAGGGACGTGGGCAGGACATGGATGTCGACAGGGGAGATAATTGAGCGAATTAGCCGAGGAGGGAGGGAGGGAGGGATTGAGGGGGGTGGGAAAGGTAAACAAGAAAAATGACAGAGCAGGAGGAGGGCAAGTAGAGAGTGAGGGGAGGCGAGGAGAGTGGATAGGGGGAAGATGAGGGAGAAGAAGAGTGGAAGGCAGAGCAAGTTGGAGAGGAAGGAAGATGAGCTGGAAGTAGTACGTGTGTTTGAGTGTGTTAGAAGAGGGTTGTATTTTGGAATTATCAAATTAGAAAAAATCTGAGTTGATAACACCGTAGGCTATGAGGAAAAGTATTATGGAAAAATAATTTCTTAATTGTACACCACACAGGATCTTCACACAGGCATACCCCACATGTCACAGTAATATTCATTTTCAAAATATGTTAAAATCAATTATAATTGAACTTTAACGTAATTATTTAATATTTTTTTAACTTTTTACAGGATAGATTAAAAATATATTTGTGTTGGGTTCCTACTCTTACACCAACGTACTCTCACAGCACTAGTTTCTTTTTTATATCCAGTGATGAACGATGGCACAATTCTTGGTGACATTCTTATGAACCTGTTTATTCATCAAATAACCACAAAATGACTGTTTGGTTCTATTTGGTCCGACATTTGTTTTGATGGTTTTGCTCAGTTTAATGTGAAAAGCCAGGCTCTTGAGTCCACAATGGTTTGCATCTGTTCATGCATATCGCTCAAAGGAAAGACGTGTTTTCTTCAAAAACAACTCTTAAATTTCCCATGGGAACTGCCCTGCCTTTTAAAGTGTGTTTAATCTCTGTGCGGTAAAGCAATGGATGCAGGCAAAGTATCCTTCAGATCACCTTGTGTGTTTTCACTAGTTATTAAAATTCATGATGTCGGTAGTAGACCTTAAACTATTCGGTTACGTTGTTAAAAAAAGGAAAATGAATATACAGCTCTGAAGGGAGGGAAGGATGAGAGAGACAGACTGTCAGCGAGGGAATGAGATGAGTGAAGGAAAGACGAGGGACGTTAAAGAGGAGACACCAGAAAGAGTTAGAAGTAAACAGGATGGAGTCTGAGCCACAAAAGGATGGAAGGAGAAAATCAGCAGTATAATTCCAGCAAGTTTTGTCCTTCATTAGTTTCAAAAATCCACATCAAACTGTCCACCTTTCTGCCTGCTTGTCTATCTAACTATTCTACTTTGGGATGTCCTTCATCACTGCAGATGAGGGCTTAAATGCAGCACGCGTTTGAACATTGGTGCGGGGGTGACTGTGCTCTGTACTGTATGTATTTGTTATGCATTCATGTGTTGCTTTTAATTTATAGGCTTTATGTATGTGCATGTGTGCGTGTGTGACCTGTATTCTGCGAGTATCTCTGTCTCTAGAGACAGCCGATCCGAAATCTTCCTCTCTCCCTCCTCTGTTACCATGACAACAGCTGCTGCTCTCAACAGGTCGATGGGGCCTGTTTGAGCTGACACACACACACACATGCACGCAAACACACTCGTAGATTGGAGAACACACACACACACACATAAACACTCTGGAAGAACGCACACGTAAACACACGTACACACAGATGACAAACACACACAGATACACTCGCATGCTGTGTAATTATAGCATTTAAGCATTACCTGCACACTGCAAGGTCAGCATGAGAGACGAGGAGAGAGCGGAGGCTAACTACCATGTTCTCTATGTGAAATCACACTAAGTGGTGATTTTGAAAAGGTGTCTTTGAGTGCATTTATTCTCACACACACACACACACACACACACACACACACACACACACTGTGTCCTATCTAGCAGCTTATATATTGCATCAGGTCACATGAGGGGTTACGCTATTGGTATGCATTTTCAACTCGGATAAATATTCTCAGCATAACACAGGAGAGTGCTGAGGCCCCTCTCCCAGATGATATCAGCATATCCCGGGTTTCTTGTATTGAGTTTGTCAAGAAAAGAGATTATCTGTGTTATTGTGAGCTGCATGTGGCGGTTAAGTGAGTATTTAAGAAAATAACAGCGTCCCGGTGCGTATGTGGATGCACTCCCAATGTGAAAATTTGTCGTAAGCATACACGGTTTAATTGGTAAAACGCTGAATGTATATTTTATATTCCAAAATGCCTCAGACAGTGAATACTGCTGTACATCATGTCAGCTATGAAACCTGCTGAGCTAACTAGATGCTGATTTCAGTTGTACTTTTTTTTATTGCTGTTTTTCTGGAGTTGTCCTTACCATTAATATTTATATGCCGTTAGAGATGGATATTTACTATTTTTAGGCTGATTAATGCATTAATAATGGACTTGGTAGTTGTTTTGATTCTTCGCTCAGACTCCCCCGATTCCCCCCCCCCCCAGTGTTCCGCTCTCAACAACACAGCAGACAGTAGATTTATTATCATGTTGATGGAAGCAGACCTCAAGGGTTTTTTAAATTATGGGTCAGGAACCCAGAATGATTAACAGGCCGTTCTTTTTTTCTGTGGGACCCTGCAAGCCCGGAGAGTGTTTAAATGAGCCCCCGGTACAAGGGCGACTGATTAACTTTGATGCATTTTGGTCCCAAGCTGAATGATCTTGTGGTCGATGGTGTTCAAGGTTCAATCCTTAATCCAAACATAAACTAAGTATTAGTATTTAGTATTTTCTCAAGTAGTGCTGCTGACTCCCTCTTTTAGTCTTGACAGGATGCAGACGATAGAGTTTCAGTAAACCTCTGCACACGTACACATCCAACCATGGCCAGTTGTTGAAGTTTTGCAACACGGATCCCTCACTGTGATGTCACGTGTTGAACATGACGGTCAGCTACAAGTGCACATTAGTTTGCTCATGATTTGAAGGATCTGACAGCACCACTCATTGGTACACAAGATCTGGAGTCTAGACTAATTTGACATGCAAGGGCAAAAAAGGAAGGGAGACGGTAAGGAAGGAAAGAATGGAAGAAGAGAGCAGAGGGAGGTGGAGGGAGGTGACAGCAGTTGGTAACTGTGTTGATGAAAACCAGACCTCTTTTATCTCTCCTTCTCTCCCTCCCTCTCCTTGCACTCTCTCTTGCTTTTACTCTGACTCTCTCCCTCTGTGAGGCCAAAAATAATGAGGTCGCTCCCCTCTCAAGGACCGCTCCTCTCTCTCATTCCACCTCGCTCTTTCTCCGTCCACATCCCGTCTTCCACGCGACAGGCCTGCTCCTCGACACACCCATATAAGGGCATGCACTGTCTCTCTAACCCCCCCTTGCACACACAAAGAGGTTCCTAAGTGACCCAATATGTCTTATTGTTAACGCAAAGGCAAACTCAACAGCTTTGATCTCTCCCGTTGTGTACACTGCTTGTGCAGTCTGCAGTGCGTGTATATATATACCTCTGCTTATGTAAGGATGTATTAGCTTGTTTAAATATACCTCCTTGTTGAAATAACATGCCTGATATGAAGACGTTCTCTATTCAGGAAGATGAGCCAGAGTTTGTACTAGAGCTTTTCATGGATCATTGAAAGCCTACTTGAAGCTGGCATGTAGTGTATAGATCTATAGATCTATATTTGTCTCCTCGGGTCCCTTAGTAGTGGGGAGACAGGTGCAGCGGGTTGCAGCGACGGATTGGAAATTTTGGAGAAACGCAAGCGTACGTCAGGCTACGGCGGCCAATCACGTTACCGGCGCTGTACTTCATAATTCAACCACGAGGGAGTAAAATAGGTTAATCATCATGCAGTCACTTGATGTTAATGGACCGTTTAGTCACACCAAATCAGGCCGCAACGCCTGATTTGGTGTGAATGCAGCCTCAGACCGACTGTGAATGATGACATTGAGGTCTGCCTTCCAAGATACCGGATGGAGAGTCAAGCTAACACAAACCCCAGAATGTTGGCCCTAAACACAAGACTTCTGGTCTGAGATTTGCACAATTATTTTCATTGGTTGCTCTGTCTGTCCCAAGTCAACATTAATACTGCTGGCTGTCCTATCTCCAGATATTTGTCATATGTACGCTTGTAAATGTTATTTTAAGAATAACCAGATAAATAATCTCTACTGTGTAAATGTCTCTGTACTTGTGTTACGTGCACTCTGCTCCGGTGTGTATATTCTTTAACCGTCCTCTCAGACCATTTGAGATCATCATCCTGATGACCATTTTTGCCAACTGTGTGGCCTTAGCCGTCTACATCCCCTTCCCCGAGGACGACTCGAACGCCACCAACTCCAACCTGGTGAGTAATCTCAAATATCTAATCTTAAAGTTAAATACGCTCACTCGCGGTTCAGTCCACCAGTTGCTGGTTTAAGTAACCGCTTGGCTCGTTGTAAGACGGGGTTTCTCAGGTTTTTGTTATGTGGTCTGACACCTGTGTTTCCCATGTGGATTATCGTGACTGACATCTTATTAGGCGTGTGGTTGAATTCTGTAACATTTCATCAGAAGATTTTCTTCTGTTAATTAGCAATACTGAGAGGCATGTCATTAGCGCATATCCAGCTGATTCTGTTGTGTGTGTGATTTGCTGCCATGTGTATAAGAGGCAGGAGAGGAGGGATGCTGTATTACACCAGGACTGAAGACAAGAAGTGGGGAGAAAAAAAGACGAGAGTGGGAGGGAACGAGAAAAAGTGAAGAAGTAGGGAGTAAAAAAGAATAATATCTTCTCTGAGCTTCATTCTCTCTCATCATTGGTTGTTTGGATACAACACAGTTGTTGATTATAATGTTCCACTTTGAAGCCTGAAGACAATTGAGGATTTTGACTGAGGACTCTTGAGTTGTATTGAATGAAGCCATGTGAGTTGATTTTGATCAAAGGCAAAGCATCGTTTTCTTGTGGGCAACATAAAAAAAAAATTGGCTAAGGACAAAATAGTTGTTTTGATTGAGGAATGAATTGTGTGGTTCCCAAAATGTCATCCAGTCGAATGTTTTAAATGTAGCATCATTTGATATTTTTCAAAGTAAAGCAAAACAAAGACATCTGTTGCTTCAAAACTCTGGTTTTCTGACTGCTTCTTGCCAAACCTTCCATCTAATTACCTTAACCTGGCCTCTCACAAGTGTATGTG